ATATCTGCGTCTCAGCTCCTCATCTGTAACAGGGACTTCGGTGAAGAGTGCGTACGTGTAAAGTGCCCTGCACGGTGGTGATTTCCCTCAATGGCTTTTCCTCTTCAACCTGGCTCTCCCCCAACTTTCGCTTTTGTGGAAGATGAAAGGGTTTTTTGCTGAGGGCAGGAAGAGCCTTTCCCTCCTCAAGTACCTCGGGCTTGCCCTCTTTTTCACAGAGGTTTAAAATGATTCTAACTTGTTCAGGGAGAGCTATGGGCTCCAGGTTAAGTTAGAGAAAGCCCAGGCTGGGTGGACAGCTAAGACCGGGAGGCAGCCTTGGGCAGCCAGGCCCTCCGCTTCGAGACCTGCCTCTGCTATCTACATTCAGAGGAAGGAAGGAAGGGACCCCTCCGTCTGGCTTTCTGGGTCTCAGTCTTCTCTCCCCGTGCCAGCAGGGCCCTGCTGGTCTCTCCCTCACCCCTCCCTGACTTCCTTGACCTCTTCCTGTTCTTCCTGCTACTTGAAACTTCTCAGGTGCTCACGGATTCTTCTAGTTCTTCTTTTCTGGGGCCCCCGAGCATCCAGATTGCTTGGGTTCCAATCCTGCTTCCAACACTAGCTAGTGACTTCAGCAAGCTACACGACCTCTTGGAGTCTCTGGTTTCCTGTCTCTAAAGTGGGGTAATGGTGGAACTCATGATGTATAAATGTTGGATAAGAGCAACTGTTGTTATGTGATGTCAGCCCCAAGTCGGGGGAGCAGAATATCAAAGACACGATGCCTGCTTTGGGGAAACTCACGTTGCCAAGATCATGCCCGAATCCAGCCAGTACTTCCTGCCGACCTTGGAATGAAACCCAGTGCCCCACCATGGCACCCTATGTGATCCGGCCCTGCCCACCTCTCCCACCTCATCGCATCCCACTCTCCCCCTACCCTTTGTTTTCCATCCACATTGTCTTTTCTGTTTCTCAAATGTACCCAACTGCTTCCCGCCTCTACGACTCTGCATGTCCCTCTGCCCCTGCCTGGACCACTCGTCCTCGGAGAAGCCTTCCTTGGCTTTCAAAATTAAAGCCACCCCCTGCCCCCATAACTTCTTACCTCATAACACTGTTTCATTGTCTTCATAGCACTTATTATTATCAGAAATGATCTGTTTCCTTATTTATCATCTGTCTCCTCCTGAGATGGAAGTTTCCTGAGGCAGAAACCTTATCTGGCTTGTCCTCCTACTACTTAAAATAGTGTCTTATACTCTGGTTTCTCTTCAGATCCTATAAATCTCCCACCTCTTAAAATAGTGTCTGGTATAAAGTACAATAGATGCTCAGTACATGTTTGGTGAATGGAGAGATGAACAGGGGCAGCCCTGACTGTAGGACAGAGCTGAGTAAGCCGTGGGGCCCCACCCTCTGGGGAGATACAGGCACCCAGCTGCAGAGGGAGTTGTGGGGCTTCTTGTTCTATGCAGTTTGATTCTCTGTGTGTCTCCCAGGCCGGACGGGGTTCTCTTTGAAGGCGGGCTCCTGAGCCTAAGTGTCTTTGCAACTAAAGGTGAAGCTACAGACCACCAGCAACTGGTGCCATTACCACGGATCACTCGGTACAGGAAGCGGCTCTCTGGAGGTCCTGTCCAAGCCAGGCCATTAGTTACAGGATCACAAGGAGGCTGTAACAGGTAGGGGTGGCCCCAGGCTAAGGATATCATCAATTGACCAGCAGGGGTGGAGGTATTTCAGCATTTTACCCAACAGTGCCCCCACCTCACATCAGGCGAGTGGAGATGAGCTTCAGTAAATCCTGCTGAGTTCTGTGGCTTCAGCACTATTTCAGGAGCTGAGGTCCAGAGCAGCTAAGCTGGTTGGCACTTTCATGGCCATCCAGGTTAAACCCCTGCCCACCCCCAACACACATACACTTCTGCAAATAAGGAGAAAGGACCAGAGAAGGCCCAAGGTCAAGAGCTGATCGGAGGGAGGGTCAAGACTTCAAGGCAGCAGGTGAAGATGTGTGAGTGACTTTCTGAGGAAGGGCAGGACAGCCATGCTCTAGCTTTCCTCACGCCCCAAGCGCTTTTCCTGACCAAGGGCTGCGTCTTCTCTGCCCTTTCCTGCTGGGCACTTATCTCTCTTCCCAGGGGCACAGGTGTGGGTCTCCCACCAGGTCAGGCCCAGGCAGGTGAGAACAACACTGGGAGGCGGCCCTGCTGTCAGGTGCTGGGTGAACCTTGCTTCGCTCCCACCTCCAGCAGTGTCCCCATTGCTATACCATCTCCCACACCCCCAAGGATTCCCTGGAAGCTGAAGTGACTCAGGGATTCCAAAACTAGTCACTCCAGGAGGAAAACCCTCTGGAAAATGTTTCTCATGGCAGGGAGTTACCCTAAGGAGTCCCACAGAGACACTGCTGAGATAAGAGCAGAGGCTGAGTGGGCAGGCGGGGCGGGGGGGTGTGGCTCAGAGCACACTTCTCTGTCGGGCCTGATCACCCCTAGGGGAGACTCTGTGTGTGGAGGGGACCTCCCTCTGCCTTTCAAGGGGTTTCCTCAGAGAAAGTCCTGCTACAGAGGCAGGGGGACACCCCAAAGGCCTTTCCTGAAGGTCAATGTCCTGGGCAAACATGTGGGGTTTTTGCAACACCAGCAAGTAATGAGTATCTAGGATCACTTCCAGCTCTTTTGAGCACCCCTCCCTGGACTGGGGCAAGGAGTAGGGGTGCAGGTTTGGGCTGATGACAGGCTCTGGGGCTTTGATTGTTCTGGGGGCGACCCATACGGATTCAGGTCTTCTGCAAGAGCACTGCTCTCGCAGAGCCTTTTCTGGGGGCGGCAGTTGCTCGTACCAGACCCGAGGCTGGGGATGGCGGTGAGGAGTGGCAGATCCCAGCCAGCGGGGCTGACAGCCTGATTGGCAGGAATGGCCTGTGGCCTCAGACAGGTTTAGGTGAGACCTGTCCCAGCCGAAAGTCCAGGTGAGGAGTAGAAGAGCACTTATGCGGGGACCTCCCTTCCCTTTGCAGCCAACCAGGGGCCGCACAGTGTGGCTCCTCCATGCCAGGAGCTCGGGTTTGGAGTGGGTCAAGGCTGGAGTGGAAAACCAGCTCTGCCCCTTCCTGAGTGACCTTGAGGAGGCTACTAAATTTCTGTGGGTCTCAATTTCCTCATCTTAACATGAGATAATAGGGATAAGAGTTTCCGCCACATGGTGTTACTGGAAAGTGCAATGAGCTGATGCATGTACAGGCCTTGACACCATCCTGGCACATGACACCAGAGCTGAGGGATCAACAGAGTGTGGGAGTGAGCGTGTCTGGGAGCTCACGGGTGAAGAGGCGGGCAGTGGGAGCAGGGTGACGGGCTCCCGACTCTGTGCTCTCTTAAGTGCTCCTGCCTTCCCAACAGCCACTTGTTTGCCCAGAGCCCTGCCCCACTCCCAGGTCCAGGGCCCTCACCAGACAGCTTCTTCCAATCCTCCAGCATGCCCCTTGACCTCGTCACTACCATGCTTTGGCGCTGCTTTGCCCCGAAGCAGCGATTTTCAACAGGTGCACAGAGACACGCTGGTGTGCTGCAAGAATTTGTGAAACATGCAATGCCTGACTATTTAGTCAGGGGCACTGACCGCTCTTCACTTAGACTGTCAAATTCAAAATGACAACAGCTGACACAAAAATAGTCATCAGTGTGAATAAATCAAAATTATACCTAATTTTTTTTGTCGGAATGGAAAAAATATAATATAGTTTTTTGTGTGCTGCAGAATTTTAGTAATTAGTTATGTGTGCCACAAGATGAAGAAGGTTGAAAATCGCTGCCCTTAAAGCATTTGAAGGATTCCCCTTCACTCTACGGTTAGTTATTCCTGGTTCTCTTTGTTTATTTCCTATGTCCTTGGTTACAAGAGGAGTATTTTCTAAGGGAAAGCACATGCAAATCAGGAAACATCATTCTAGAGACAGTGTCAATATGCGGTGTGTGTACGAGTGGGGGTGGGTAACTGGTGTGGGGTTTGGAGGTGTCAGTGGCGGGCATGAGGGAAAAAGCATGGAGGGAAGAAGGCTCTAGCTGGCCTGCCCTCAGCACCGTGCCTCTCAGGCTGGGTGGTCCCTGGGGTCAGGCCCAGCTTGAGCCATTGTGAACAGAGTTTTGCCCCCTCACCCCATGGCCCCAAGCCCCAGCCAGGTGGGCTCATCTCACGGCCTGAGAGCAGCAGCCACCCCTACCAAGACCTTGTCCCCAAGGCCCTGTGAGTGGGGGTGGGGACAGGCTGATCCATGAAACCGGGACCTCCTGTGGGGTCTTTGATGAGTCAGTTACCGAGCCCCTCCTCTTCTTGGCTCTACCTTCTCACCTGTGCAATGGGACAGTCACCCACAGCTTCTGCCATCAGATCTTGCACATCCAGCCACCACGCTGATGGGGTGGGGTTTTTCTGGCAGTCCTGTGGGGTCATGGAAAGGGCAGGGATGGGGGTTTGGGTGGCCACTGGAGAGGGTGAGGGTGAGTTAGGGAGCAGGTGACAGACAGTGGGGAGAGTCATAGATGATGGGGGTCATAGAAGGTGGGGTCATTGAAAATGAGGAAGGGGTCAGAGAACAGAAGGGTTGATGGTTACAAGGGGTAGAGTGGAAATGTGCGCTTAGGTGGCTGATCAGGAGGGCTTCTGGGAAGAAAGGGAATGGTGCAGACAAGAGGCTAAGTGGGAGCAGCAGAGACCACGAAAACGAGGCCCCTTGAAGAGAGGCCAGATAATGTTCCCTAATTCTGGCTACCAAGCTAATCAGAGAAATTCCCATAATGCCAGTTTTCAAAGTCTCAGAGGAACAGAATGCTATTGCGTTGAGTCCACGCAGAGAACAAGGTTTACCTGATTCGTTTCCAGGCTTGTGACGACATTCATCACAACTTCCATGAGTACGGCATTTTAAACAGCTTTGGAAACCCTGTTGAGTTTTCTTTGGTTTTGTTTTGTTTCTTTTTTAATCTCAGGTTACTCCCTCCAAAAGGTAGTGGAAATAAATTTGAATAAACAAAACAGGTTTGCTGAAAATAAAACCAGGACTCCTCAACTGCTCTAGCCAGCCTGCTTCCACAGGGCCCTGCCTGTCAGCCTGTACAGCACCTTGCTGGGCGAGCGGCATCTGGCATCCGGCATGTACCAGGTGAGCGTGCAGAGGCCGGGTGGGGACGGCGCCAAGTGGGAAAGCGGCAGGGAGGTTGGGCTCCGTGGTTTGGGGCTGAAGATCAGGTGGAGCTAGAAACTAGGATCTCAGGGAGTAGCTGGGAGAGGGGCACCTGGGCTAGATGGGAGCAGTTGTCTCACCGGCCTTTTCCTACAGGTGGTTGCCTTCTTAGCAGTAGTCATGGGAGCACATGCCCTCAATCTGCGGCTTCAGAAAGACTGCATCCTCTGGCCCAACTGCTTCCCCAGCCAAGGACAGGACCCCACCGAAGAGCTGCTGAAGTTGGACACGGTGCGCATGCCTCCCCCAGAGGCTGGCAGCCTTGCCCGCCACCCAGTGACCTGCAGGGCCAGTGAAGATGGACCCCTCAACAGCAGGTCCATCTCCCCCTGGAGATATGAGTGAGTCTGCCGTCCCCTCCTGAGTTCTTGCATATGTGCCAGGCAGGGTATGTGTGAGGGGCCAAGGGAGATCTACCCAGTTCCAGCCTACCGGCCCCATTTTATCTCAGAGAGGCCATGAAGGTTTGGGCGTTAGTCTGAGAAGGTTTGGGTCCTAGCTCTGACTCTTATGGGGCAACCTCGAGCCCGTTACGCAAGGTTTCAAAGTTCAGGTTATTTTTCATCTATAAAGTGAGATAATACCGCATAGGCTCATGTAAAGATCATATGAAATAATATCTGTAGAATCTATATTTAGTACATAGAATGTTGTTTCTCTCCTTTTCTCCTCCTCCATCCCTACAGCAACCATGCTTTTGTAACTAGAATATCAGGGAATGATGGGAATATCAGGGAATGATGGTATGACACAGGCGAGAAGCATCCCAATATCAAATGCTTTGCCCTGGGATGTGAGTGGGTTATAAATATACCACGATAAGAAAACCCTCAACTCGGGGGGCAGCTAGAGGGCTGGAGCACCCGGTTGCTTACCTTGGAACATGGGCAGTCTTAGTCTTTCACTCAGTGTGCCACGATGTGAGAAATATCAGGAAGCACTGAAATAGAGACAATGAAACAAACTACTAGAAATTAGGCCGCAGGGGTCCTAAACACATTTCTCCTTCTGTCCTGTCCTCACAGGGTGTCTGTGTTTTCACTCCTCACAAGTCTAGTCTGGCTTAACCTTAGCTTTGGGGATGAAGGGAGAAGTTCAGTAGGTAGGGAGGGGGTTAGCTCTCATTGAGACTAGATCCAGGGTGGAGACTGCTAATCACCACGCTCTGAAGTGGTTTCAGATGGCCGGTGGGGTACTGGGCTAAATGTGAAGGATGGGAGCCCCTTTGGGAAGGCTGGGAGTCAGCGGGCTAACTGGGCTAGGGTCCAGATTAGCTCCTTGTTGGGAGGCTGTGAGCCCCCGATAACCGCTCAGGTGGTCTTCCCCCAAGGTTTTTTGCAACACTCGTCCCACAAGCTGCTCCTCAGGGAAAAACTGATGATGTCCAAGTGTGGTGGGTAAAGCTGCTCCAGCCCTGGCCCCTTGTAGACTCACAATGTGCTCAGCACATTAAAGTCTGCCTTAAGTCAGCAGGAAAGAAACCATTAAACTCATTTGATCACAGACCCCTTTTCTTACAAGGTACTTGTAAGGGAACCCACTTTGGAAAATTCCATCCTAGCTGAGCCCTAACTTCTGAGGGCTTGTCTACATGGACAATGGTCTTGCAACCCAGCAGCTATTTCTTGCTGGGCTTCCGGAGTCCCAGACCTATGGAACATCTATTTTTCACTGTTTTTAGACCACCAGATCCTTTCGGAATAACTAAATAAGTCCCTCCATGCACTCCATCCAACCTGCACTTACACTGCCTGCACAGCCCGTGTCTGCAGGAAGTGCGCAAAGTGCAGAACCGGCTGACAGTGGCGCCCTCTGGGGAGTGGGACTGGTGGGCAGCTGCACTATTAATCTTCATTTGACACTTTTTAATGTGAGGGCAGCTTTTACTTGTATAATTAAAAACACCCTAAAATGTAATAACAATCGCGAAGACAAACCTCACGCCGGAGCCCAGTGTGCGTTTCGGACAGCGGAGCTGGACTGGTGGAGGCTCGGGCAGGAGCCCGCTCGATTTTGCTCTGCCCCCCTTAGGGTTCCGGGGCCAGCTGGCAGCGAGGCTGCCCTGCTCCCCCTCACAGTGGGGGAAGAGAAACCCCAGAGAGAAGGGGGTGATTTTTTCAAAGTCACGCAGCAACTGGGTGCCAGAGATAGGGCAAGAAGCCAGGCCTCCCGACCACACCATTTCCTTCCTCTGGCATTTCCATCCTCCCTGGGCGCTCCCTGCTCTGGCCCAGGCCCTCCTGCCTGGCCAGCTTCCCTCCGGGGCCTGACTGACTGGTGCCATCCCCACAGGTTGGACAGGGACTTGAACCGGCTCCCCCAGGACCTGTACCACGCCCGCTGCCTGTGTCCACACTGTGTCAGCCTGCAGACAGGCTCCCACATGGACCCCCTGGGCAACTCGGAGCTGCTCTACCACAACCAGACCGTCTTCTATCGCCGGCCATGCCCTGGAGAGCGCGGTGCAAGTGATGGCTACTGCCTGGAGCGCAGGCTCTACCGTGTCTCCTTGGCTTGCGTGTGCGTGCGGCCCCGTGTGATGGCCTAGTCACGCTGCCCGCGGCTGGGCCCCAGTGGAACGCTGGAGCTGGTGTGCAACTGTCTACTGGGGTGAGCCCGGACGCCGCAGTGCTCACCCCTCCGAAGTATCACCTGGCGCAGCAGGATCATGGGACAGGATGGGAACTTTAGAGGAAAACACACTTCGTACTTTCTGGAGTGGATGGGAAATGCAGGCGAAGTGAACTGAGCAGTGGCTGCAGTGGCCTCTGGAAGCTGGTGTCCGGTATCCTGGCATTTCTTCTCAAAAAGGCTTCAAAGCTCTGCCCGTTCGTGGAGGCCACCGCCCCATCTCTTCCCTTCCTTCCACCCCAGCTGTCATCGTGAGCACAGGCACTTTCTCGATATTTCCCCCCTTGCGAACAGAGAGCCCCTCATTTCATTTATTTGCTCATTTGTTCATTCACTCATTCATTCATTCACCCATCAAACACTCAACAAATACGTTACTGGTCTTCTGACATGGGTGACTCTGAGGAAGAGGCTGTTATTGAGCACGGAGAGACTTATCCAAATAAATAATCTATGTTTAAAAGTGGCTTAATTTGTCTTTGGCATCCTGGTGCCTGAAAACATCTTGTGGTCCCCGGCCCAGTCCCTTTTCTGCCCCATGGTCAGCCCTCACCTATCGCTGTCTCCAGAGTTTCCGCCGTGGCCTCCCATCCTTCTCCTTCTCTGGCTCCCCAGTCCGCCCTTGGACACCAGGGTGGGGGTCAGGCCACCCTCCTGGTTTACTGGAGAGACAGAGGCCCATTGAGGCACTGCAGCAGGAACAGAGCACCCCCTTGTCCCCCCAACAATCTGCCTTTGTCCTCCGTCTTGGCTGCTACGGCTGGGCCCTGGGGGTGCTGCTGGGCCTGCTCCAGCTCCCACCCTCCCTAAAAGGAAAAGGGAGAAAAGATGGGCCAAGGAAGAGGGTTAAGGTTAGGGGAGGGGATGCAAACTTCTTCAGGCTTAGGTCCTTGGGGGTTCCTAGTCCAGCCCTGTTTCTTGGCTCCACTCCCAGCTCCTCCTGGTGGCCACAGACCTCCTCCCCCTCCTCCCTTGTCCAAGTAAGGGGAGGTTTGGCCACTCCTCCCCCGCCTCTCCCCTCCCCATGTGCCTCCTGGGGGTTGGTGCAGACACTGGCGGGGCAGCTGAGTGGAAGGCCCATCTGGGCAGGCCTCCCCGGCGGCTGCCTTCTCCCAGGACCTCACAGCAGGGCTGCGCGCTTCGCTTTCAGGTTCCTCCAAGAGCTTTCCTTCTTCTGTCTGCTTCTCTGTCCTGCCAGGTTTCCATCTTCCTGTTCCCCTTCCTGGGCCGCTGGCCGTGAGGGGCTGTGCCCAGCGGGCCTGTGGAGATGCTCAGTGCTCTGGATCGCCGGGACCGGCCTCCTGAGGAGGGGCCAGCGGCAGGGCTCCAGGGCTTTGCCGTGGACAAGACCTTCCTCTCTTCCCTGAAGGGCATCCTGCTGGAAACTGAGCTGGTAACAACAGCTACCCCAACCTGGTGCTTCCACATCTCCTAGCCCTGGCCCCCCTGCCCCGCCCCCCCCCCCCCCCCTTCCCAGGCTTTCTGGGCACCACCTGTCCCCAGCTGCCCCTCCTTCATCACCTCCCTGCCTTCATCATCTCTGCATCTGGAGGTAGTTACAGTGGGTCTCAGGTGGGGCGGCCAGGACTGAAGTTAGACAGGACAGCTTTGTGGGACACTGAGGGAGTGCAAGACACAGGGACGGGGTGAAGGTACCGGCAGCCTCTTTCCTGGGCTCTACGATGGCCACTTCCTGGCATGTCCGAGGAGTCCAGCTATCTGAAACGGCAGAGTTCCTCAACCCTGTTGCTTCTGTTTCTGCTCCCCGCGAACATCTGCTCCCAGGAAAGGATCTTCCCCTAGTCACTTAGCAAGGCCTTGGTGTAAAGGCAATAATTCTGCACATATGCCATCGTCCTGCAGGGCCAGAGCTGAAGGAACCCCCGGGATCCACCGTGGAGCATTTGTCTTCTAAACCTTGTATTTTGCATGGAGCCGCAGGCTTCGGACCTCGTTAGAGGAGTCTGAGGCATCCGAAAGAAAGGATCACGGGGCACGGGCTGACGCCTGGGGTGCGGGGCTGGTGCAGCATGCCCCTGGGGGTGGCATTCACAGTGGGTTCTGCACCCCAGCAGGACACCACACGGTCAGGCCTGCTGGGATGCTGGGGCAGGAGGCAGCTTGTTGTCCCTAAACTGAAAGGTTTGAATCATCCTGGGCTGGCAGAGGTGGGAGCCTGCCCCTGGCCAAAAGCCATGGAATATGGTTCCTGCCATGAGGGATGGGGAGACCTCCAAGGACAGGTGGTGGGGGCCAGCCTGGGGGGGGCTCCTGAGGAGAGGAAGGCCAAGGTCAGGCCATGCCTGTGTCTCCTTCCTGGCAAGTCCACACACTTGGTCCTGCAGGCCCTGACCTTCATCATCTTCATCTGTTTCACCGCCTCCATCTCCGCCTACATGGCCGCGGCGCTGCTCGAGTTCTTTATCACCCTCGCCTTCCTCTTCCTCTATGCCACCCAGTACTACCAGCGTTTTGATCGGCTGAACTGGCCCTGTCTGGTGAGGGACCCTGCCTACCCCACCCCATTCTGCTCCCTTTCTTCTCCTCTGAACTTGGGAGTTTCCCTTTCCTCTCCCAGCCTCTCTCCTTCACTTGGGCCCCTCAACCCCAGCTGGGCTTTGCCCCAAGCTGTGCCCTGTACTCAAAAACTGCTTTGACCTACACAGATTCACAGCTCCTGGGTCACTGATGGTGAGGACACACATCCTTTAGATATGCTCTCCCACCTGTTAAAGTCCCAGCCCCAGCCCTGCCCTGCTCTCCCGCACCTCCTGGCTGGCATCCCCAAGATGTGGCCCTTGGCTCCAGCTGCCGCACCCAGACCCCTGGCTTTCTGTCCTGGTCACTCTGCATTCACTTACATCCCTTCCCTGGATAATATGTGAACTCCCTCCCTCTTTTTCTCTCTTTAGTGCTTTATCTAGTGTTCAGGGGTATCTTTATGCAGGAATTCAGTGCCTGAGGGCCAAGTGCTGACTAGCCTGGAAAGTTCAGGGGGATAACTCTGTACTCTGACTTCCCTTTGACCTGGAATCTTGGCCCCTCCAGGACTTCCTCCGCTGTATCAGCGCCATCATCATCTTCCTAGTGGTCTCCTTTGCAGCTGTGACCTCCCGAGATGGAGCTGCCATTGCTGCTTTTGTGAGTCCAGTGCCCCCAAATCTCTTCAGTTCCCTAAGGACCTCTAACTGGTGTTGCCCACTTCCTGTGCCTCCCCCACCCAGGCCCCTCTCCCGAATACCAGCGGCCCTTGTGATGCCACCCCCACTCCCGTTCCACAGGTTTTTGGCATCATCCTGGTTTCCGTCTTTGCCTACGATGCCTTCAAGATTTACCGAACTGACATTGTGCCCAGGGCCACCCAGGGTGAGTGCCCGTGCTCTGGAATAGGAGGTGCCCCTCTGCCCCTGCCCCGGCTGTCCCAGCCTGATGTGCCCTTCCCTGCCTGGCTCCATTTTCACAGGGGACCAACAGTGACCCCAAGGCTACAGCCAGACCAAGGGGACAGTGGAGCTCAGGCACATCTCTCATGGATTCACTAAGCCTGCTGTCTTCCACCCCAGACCTGCAGAGATGAAGGCTGGCCCAAGAAGCCACAGGGACTTGTTTGTGAGCCTGATGCTCTCAGATATGGCTCCTGATGAAGCTGGACTGAAGAGGGGTATTCTGGAGAGGGGAGTGGGCAGGAGAAAGCTGGTCATTCCCAAATTAAAAGATTCGAATCCTAATGGTCAGTCTTTTCCTTCCCTGGGAAATAAGCATGTCAGGAATCCAAGGAGTATTCATGAAAATGTTGCCTGGAGCAGGTCATGGTCCTTCTCCGGGACCAGGTCTCGGTAATGAGGAAGTGGGGGGCTAGAATAAAGATGCTGAAGACATTCTCAACGCAACTTTCATACTGCAGCCTCTTGTGTGCAAGGCCACTTTGTGGTGTGCCTGGTGGCTGGGCACCTGGAGTTCTGTGTCTGAGAAGAACAGCTTTCCCAATGTGAGTGCCCACCTGCCACTCCTGTACACACAGATTTGTTAGTGGGCTTGAGGCTGGGTGCAAGCCTGGGCTGTGTGTAGAGCTCCCCCTTGTGGTGTGGGGAAGACTTGGCCTGCAGGTCACAGGGAAGAAGTCAGCCTGTGGTGTCAGAAGAGGGCAGAAGTTCCCAAAAAGCAGTCACTAGAAGAGCCCTTAAATATCAGCCCTCATGCCACATAAGAGAAAGCAGGCCTGTTAAGGAGAGTGACATTCTTATTTGTGATGGGGCTGGGACTAGAACCCAGTGCTCCTAGCACTCAATCGGTGTTCTGGATACTGTACAGAACCCACTTGTATTGGCTCAGAAAACATGGCCCAACCTCATCCCCAGTTCCCTCCACCAGCATGTCCATCTTCCCAGCTTGCCAGCACCCAGCAAACACTTCCTGAGCATTTCCTGTGTGCAGACCTGTACTGGGCCCCAGGGATTCAGTGGTGACAAGCTGGGGAAGAGGCGGGCTAGTGAAAGGTGGTTGTGATTCTCCCAGACAAATGCCCTGGGGAGATCTGCTCAGGGGGAGTTTGGAGCAGGCACTGCCACAGCCCAGAATCAGCCTCGCGGGGCCCATGATAGTTCAGTGCAGCCAGGCTGTCCCTGCCCAGCCCCACAGAACCCAGTGTGACCTAGCTCAGCAGCTCATCCAAGCAGACTTGCTATCTCCTCTCTCTAATGCTTGTTTGCTCCTATCCTGAAATGACTTCCTTCTTCTGGGGTGCTCCTTCCAGATGCAGGCTCCAGCCCCTAAGCCCTGCTCGAGCCCCGGGACTATAGTAGAGGCACTTTGCTTCCCTTGGTGTTAACCAGGGGTCTCTTGGTCTGGTTTCTCTGGCCTTCTGCTTCTTGTTCTCCTAGCCTCACGTCCTGGTTCCTCGCCAGGGATGGAACCAGCATTTCTGTTGATCAATATGTTCTTCTGGTCTCTGCTCACAGTGGTCAGGGCTTTACACACAGACCATTCTGAAGACTTGTGGTTGAGCTTTGAGGGGCAGGGTCAAGGCCTCGGTCTCAGAGGAGGGCTAGAAGGGGCTTAGCCAGGGGCTTCTGGGAGATGGGGTGCCAGGTGAGGGGATGAGAAGGTGGTCAGGAGAGCCTGGCTGTAAAGCCCAGGTAGGGGCAGGGGTTTGCGTGGAACAGAATGGGGGGAGGACTAGCCCCATTCCCTGAGCAGCAGTGTGACTCAGACCAGTCTCCAGTGAGGTGTCAGAGACAGTGTAAGTGCCATCATGGTGTGTACCTGCATGTGCACCTGTGCTCACCTGTGTCTGTGGGAGAGGTCAAAATGAGAGAAGCAGTGCCCAGGTTTGGTCTACACTGCATGTTGGTTTGGCTCATCGTCTACTGGCCCCAGAGCCTCAGGCAGCCCTCCTCATGAGGAGCTGAGCCAGAGCCTGGGGCGGTCCTTGGCCCCAGCTGACTGTTCCTGGGGCCGATGGGGAGAAGAACTCCTTGTGGGTTTCTTCTGAGGGGCTGCTGAGCACAGTGGGATCTGTCCCACCTTTTCATCTGCCTCTGCATCCCAGCCAGCCCTGCACCTCTCCTGGTGCCAGTGGGAAATTCATGGGGGTGGAAATGGGTGTTCCGGGACATTTTAACCCCTGTGGCCTCAGAGGTGGTGTAGGTGGAGGGTGGCTTCAGTTCTGGCACCAAAATTCTGTCTCCCAGTGTCTAGAACTGGCTCGCCCTTCTGGTGATTTTTTCTCCACTACTGAAATTTCTCCCTCTCATTCCTTATCTGGTTGACTTTGCAGAACTGAGACTCATGGCTCTGCTACCTCAGAAAAGACACCTCACTTCTTGGGGCCCAGCTTCCTCCTCTATAGATTGGAAACCTTGGTTACCACAGGTCAGGCACAGGGCAGGGCTGCCCTCAGAGCTCAGGGCAGAAATGACAAGGGCTCAGGCAGAGTCTGGCATTCAGATTTATTATAGGTGAGCAAGAGCAAGGTCCTGAAGGCAGCATCACTCTTCATCGTGCAATTTTTGCTGAGAAAGGAATAAAATGTGTGAGCTGGACAAGTTTGAGGAGGGTACCAAACCAGGAGTAGGCAGGAGTAGGGCAGCTGGCAGGAGGGAGGACCAATGTGGGGAGAAATCCCCAGGGCTTAAAGGGGCCTAAGGGAGATGACTTAGAGGGAGAGGTTCAGGCCTCAAATCTCGGAGTTTCATGTAAGGGGTCCTTGTGGTTTAGGATCCCTTAAATGGAACCCTGAGGTACTGGGGTTCTGTAGAGGTCCAGTCAGTAAGGGTGCTCTGAGCAGGAAGGGGAGTCTCACGAATGGGTGCTCTGGGACCCTCGCGTTTGTCCAAATACAGGGTAAGAAGAGCCCACTCAGAGTGGTCCTGATGTTGGGGGGAAGCTGCTGTGGGGGAAACTAGCCAGGCCTGGGGAAGGGGCCCACCTTGGCACCGATGTCACGGCTCCTGGCCCGCAGCTTGTTGACCTGGGACTCAGCGATGTCCGCCCGCTCCTCCGCCTCATCCAGCTCGTGCTGCACCTTGCGGAACTTGGACAGGTTGGTGTTGGCCTGCTCCTCCTGTGGGGGTTCAGGGGGTGGGAGTGTGAGGTGGGAGTGGGCAGGGGAATGGGGCTCAGTACTGTCACCTTTCACCCACATTCCTGCAAAAGCTCTGCCTACTCCTGGTTTGGCACCCTCCTCAGACTTGTCCAGCACTCAGAATCCTTCATGGTCATCCACTGCCCAAGATGAATCCCATGCAGCCTGGTCCAACCCCACTCAAAACCAGCTTCACTGCACCTGTGCCGCTGTGAGTGTGATACATGCTCCCGGCCCTGGGGTTTCCTGCACAGGTGTGCTCAGCAACACCTCACACCCACACTTTTCTGCCCACCCAGATGTCTTCTTCACTGCACTATGCCCGGGCAGTTTCCTTTCCAGGCTCAATTTCACTGCCACCTTTCAGCCTGTAGCATTGTCTGGCCCCCTGACCCCCAGTGGCAGCTGCACTGCCTTCTCTCGGGCTCACTGGCCTATGAATTATAAGCAGCTTGTGGGCAAGTCCTGGGTCAAATAAGCACTGTTTTTGTTAACTCAGAGTGCCTGACACACCTCTGAGCACACTGGACATATATAACAAATGTTTGAGAGTTAAAGTTTATAGCAAACCCATTGTCCCGGCCCCATGCTGGGTGGATACTCATTGGTTTGAACGCACAGGGACTGTGTTTATTTGAGTGGACAAAATCATGAGCTCACCGCTTCCTCAGCCTGGCGCTTGTAGGCCTTGACCTTCAGCTGCAGCTTGTCTACTAGGTCCTGTAGCCGGAGCAGGTTCTTCTTGTCCTCCTCCGTCTGGGGGTGGATGGGCAGGTGAAGTCAGTTTGCGGGGAGGAACAAGTGCAATCATGTTTCCCTCCCTCACCACTCCACTCTTCTCCCCTTGCCTTAGCTGCTCCTCCCTTGAACTGGCCAGAATAAAAAGGTGGTGGAAAAAGCTCTCTCTGACACTACTTGTAGGTCAAGGGGCCCAGGCAAAGTCCTCAGTCTGAGATCTAAAAAGCAATGAGAGCTGGCCCTGGCCGAGTAGCTCAGTTGGTTAGAGGATTGTCCTAATACACCAAGGCTGTGGATTCAGTTCCCATCAGGGCACATATGAGTCAACCAACGAATGCATAAACAAACGGAACAACAAATCAATGTTTCTCTTTCTCTCTGTCCCCTCCTTCCTCTCTCTCTCTCTCAAAATCAATAAATAATTTTTTTAAATAGCAACAAGAACTGCCACCTTAAAGCTGGAAGTTGAGGGAGGGGCTCAGAACCAAATGGAATTCCATCATCTAATGATATGGAGACAGTGGGCTGTTCCAGCTCCAACTGACCAGTCCCACCAGCATGACTGGAAAGAAGGCAGGGGAATGCAGAAAGAAGAGGGTGTTGTGGTTCAAGTCATTCCAGTCTATCATAACTCAATATTCTTCTTCTTTTTTTTTAATCTTTAGAGGGGAAGGGAAGGAGAGAGGGAGAGAAATATCAATGAATGGTTGCCTCTCGTGAGTCTCCTACTGGGAACTGGCCTGAAACCCAGGCATGTGTTCTGACTGGGAATCAAACCACAATCCTCTGGTTTGCAGGCCTGTGCTCAATCCACTGAGCTACACCAGCCAGGGATCAATATTCTAATATGCTGTACGGGGCCAGATTTTGGCACTAGGATCACTGACTCCGATGTCACCTGATGTTTCTTGTGTTTTCATCGTTATATGTGCTGGGCTGACATTTCCTAGGCTGATATTACGTCCATAGTACATCTGCAGTTCTACATCTGTAGCTCCTTCCCGTGCCTTGTATTCAGTGTCAAATGAACCAATACCCCTTTCTCTGTCTTTTGTTATCAGGCATATTGGTCAAGGGCAAAAACTATGAGCTATGCAGATACAGGTCTTAGAATATTTTGAGATCCTCTTTCTCTAAGGCCTTCTCTCTATTGTCCCAGGAGTTCCATGAAAGATCTGTCTTTTCCGATCCCTAAAGAGCCACACAATGTCCCTCCCGATCAGGCCTCTAGAAGGTGCAGAGCTCCCTGGACTATTCTGAAGCCTTCATGGTAGATCTTCAGGTTATTAACAAACCTGAGAAAATTCTGGTTAAAAAGACTTTCAAAAAGCAGTAGATTCTCTTCCATTCACAAGAAAAATTCATGGACTTAAGCCAAACTGACTCTGAAGTACATGAAAGGAAGTT